GACTATAAACGGTAAAACTTTTAGCTTCAAATATAGGTATGTTTTAAACCACAAAAAAAAAAAATTGTCAATGTAACTGCTTATGTCTTCAATAACCTCCAATAAGGTAACATCAAAGCACCAAACATTTTTTCTTCTTTCAATTTTTAACTTTCTTCTTATTTTTGATCAAAAGACTTCTTTTTGTAAACTCTGTTTTTTTGCAGCAGCAGCAGTATTCAGAAGAAACAATTACTTTTTGTTTTATTTCAAAAAAATTAATTCTAAACCACTGAAACTTAAATACTAAATTTATTACTTCTATTATATGCTTGATAAATCAACTTTCACTTGCATTGCAAAGTTTTAAACAATAGTTTTAATAATACCCGAACAGTTAACTTCAAATGTATTTTAAAAACTTAATACCTAAATACTATACTAAAGACATCTATTGCTTTTTGTTTCGTACAGCTTTGGTAGTTTTAAATAGAATTTTAAATAGACTTAAAGTAAGCAAATTGACCAATTTCCTTCTTCAAGTTTAGAACACCTAAAAATATAATTGACTGATCTATCAGTAATATATATCTTCTGTTTATTCTGTAAAAATTTCCCCTTTTTCAGTCTCTTTATATGAGCATTATCTTTTACAATTATACTACTTCCGTCAACAACCAACATATTATTATACCACATTTTTTCTTCTAAGTTACGAACAGTCTCCAACTATTTGCTCATTTAAAAAAAACTGCTTTCATAACTTTTTAATTTTTGATTTCTATTACATTTTATCCCAGTCTACTTTTTTATTTGAAAAAAAAAACAATTATTCAACTTCAGAATTTTTATTAAACATTTTTTAAATATTTTGCTTTTTACAGATTACTTGCACAAACCTTGCTACACATCTAAAAATATAAAAATTTTGTTTCAATGTAAGTGTCTCAAAAAAAAATTGTAAATATAAAAAGTTTTAATTTTAACACTTCAATAGAATTTCTCAATTTTTTTCTTATCTTTCCTTCTCATCTCAATTGTTCTCAAAACTTAGTTTCAACTGTTCAGTGCATCATTTTCTTTGCTTTACTGTTCACTGAACCTTCCAATTACAATATCGAAAAAAAAAACTTCTTAATTAGAAATTTATAAAGCACAAACATCATAAAGCATCTCAAAAAAAAATTTTTTTTTTAAATTTGCAGTTCTTATGCGATCAAATTTTCTAAGTTACATCTTAATTAATTTAAAGGACTTTATCTTGGGTTATTTTGCTTAACAAAATTTAAACTTTGACAAACAGTAAATAAACAGTAGTAAAGTAGGCAACTCAATTGTGCTATAAAATTAGAAACAAAAAATTGATCTTGAGATGTATTTCTTGACTGATAGACAATCACTCGTTTGCTGACAATTTTTCGAACATTAAAACCCATTATGCAGTAAAATTTCAGAAGATTATCAGTGACATTCGAATTGAAAAAACTTTATTTTTCTACTTTATATGCAGAGGTAATTCTTCTAAGTTTAGATATCTTAATTTTGACATATGTATACTATTTTATTTTATCACTTTTAAAGCAGTACACAAATGTTGCAAAATTTTATATGATGATTCATAAAGCCATTGTCAAAGGACAAGGCGTGGGTCTGACAAAACAGTCCCGGTATTTGTATACCTTAAAGAGAGAAAAAAGCTAAAACTGAAATTTTCTATAGAAATTCTTTACATTTTAAGCAATAAAAGTACTAATATAGACACAAATATAAAAGCGTAAATGCAGCTGGCTGCCGATTAAGCAAAGCTACAAAGGAAGCAAATATGTCAAAAATCGAATTCTTCATTGCGGTTTCTACTTGTATTTTAAAGATGTAATAAAAGAAATCGTGCCTTCAAACAGATATATTAGCTTATTGCCAAAATTAACCAGTCGATTTAACTGCAAATTTAACTGTCTGTTCAGTTTATAGTTTAAGAAACATATGTATTTCTGCTGATAACTGCTTAGTCAAGCAACTAAAACGAGGGTATTGATAGAATTTAAACAGCTGTTGATTCGGGTGGCAATTTGAGATAACTGAAACATATTTGAGCGAATAAAAAAGTATAAATTTAAAAAATAATTATAACTCAGATAAGTACAGTTTGTTACAAAGTACTTTTCATTTAACTCAAAATTTTTGCAATAATAAATCAAAATAAAAAAAATTATTAAGAAATTTGGCTATGCTTCTGTACAGCCTATACAGCAAAGCTATCGCGAAGAGACTAAGTTTATTCTGGACTTTTACGGTAATCTAATGAAGGTAAATTAGTTTCAGCTGACAAAGTAATCTGTGTTTAGCAAAAAATTCAGAACTCTCTCAACTCACTTAAATGCTCAAACTTATGACATCAAATTTAATCACAATTAAAATTGACTTATCCTATAATCAGTAAGCAATATTTTATAAAAAAGCAGTGTTTATAATTTGACCCTTTAAAAAATTGGTATAGGCTTCAAAATCTCCAAACTAAACAGCCCACTTGGCTTCCTTGAAATCATTGCAGTTTCAGACAGCTGTTAGGCGCGAATATATCGAATAATTTGTGAAAATGATGGCCAATTTAATGCTACCTACCTAAGCAGAGTTTACCTTAACCTTTGACAGCAATTTTTTGATTAAATACGGCCTTTAAAGCAAGAAGTAAAACTGTCATTGATAGATGTGATAAGCCATAAAAATTTGAACAGTAAAAGTATTTCCAAACCAACAAAGAAAACTTTTTTTTTTCTTTAAAATCAGCAAAAAATGTTAGAAAAATTTTGAATTATATTACAAACAATTGAGCTACAGTTTTCCAGTTTCATGACATATGTCTATTCGTAAACAACACAGAAAGAGGAATCTTCAGTAGGGTCTAGACATTCACCGCGGAACTTCTAAAATATGTATTATAACTCATTACGTCACCTATAAATAACGACTGATACAATTATGGAAAAACTTTATAGATGTTTACTTCGCAGGCTGCTCTACCGCAGTCTCACCAATCTCACTTAGAAAGAAGCAGACATCTTACATATAATCTTTGTTTTACGGCCTATAAGAAAAAACGTTTTGTAAAATAAATTAAAACAAAAACTCAATTTCATTCACCTTATTTGAAGAAAGCTTTAAAAATAGAAGTGTACATTAATTTTTTTTGCAACCTAACAATTTTAGAAGCAACTTTTTTGCAGTAACCCACAATTAACTTTGAAAATTATGGTGAGTCAAGTTATCCGAGCAGTAAGAAAAATTTGGAAGATTTTTGACCGATAAAGTCAGTGATGCGTCATAGATGATTTATTTGGAAAACAAACGACAAAATCTGTTATTCAATTGATTAAAAAAACTAATGTGTTTCTTCTTGTCACAATTTTTTTATGGCTACATTTTCAATGTATTTTGACATAAACTATTGAAAGGACACAATAATAGAATTTGTATGTACTTAGCAACTTTTTTCAAAGTTTGCCTTTACTTTTGATTCATCTGCTATACAAAAGTGTAAGGCAGTGCTCCTAATAGTTATAAGCCATTGAATTTTATAAAAAATATTATTTTATAAAAGTACAAAAGTTAGGAACCCGCACTGCTAGACCGGCTCATACGACCCAGACATGAATTCCCTACAAGCAATCGGCATCGAACTTCTTGTAGCTGTGCTTTTACATGGCAATTATTGCTTCGGTAAGTATTACACTCTTTAAAATTTCAGAACTCAGTACTCTTAGCACTGCATGTGATTAAAAGATTAGATCATTTATTCCAGTTATTTATTACGAAAAATCTGCTAAAATTTTTAAAATAAATTCAAATTTTCCTACTGTTAGGCATGAAATTTGGGTAAGTTGAAGTACTGGTGTATGCAAATGAGCAGACAGTCTCACTTAGCTTTTCGAATCAGTTTTACGAGAACCACTTAAAAAAGGATGATACCTTATTGTGAAGAAACGAATTTATTTAAAAGAAAGCAAAGACAGCAACGCCAAATTTTGTACCTTTAAAATAAAATTTAAACGAAACAAAAGAAAACAAGTCCACATTGGATAAAAACCAATCTTATAGCGTTTGGAAAACATTTACAGTAACCAAATTCTCCAAATTCAATATGATAAAAAGAACACACTTCAACCAAGTATATTAAAACAATTTGCTTCGCAATTCACAAAGTTCCACATAGTTCAGGCAACTATCAGAAAAACTTTACCGAAGCACTGCCAGGTAATTAGAGCTGTAGGTAAGTTTTCAAATTTCAAAACAAAATGCAGAACTACGAATCTAGTACTAGACTACATGCAACATCTAACTCCAATGTGCTTCTCACTGACGAAAAGTCAAACATCGCGCAGACTTTTACAAAAGCCAATAGAGACGAGAAAAGCACTTAATTTCTTAAATAAAAACGCTCTGCTCCTAGATCAAATCAACGTTTTAAAAAGGTCTAACCTTCACCAAGTAATAAACAGAAGACATTTACGTATACTTCACCCATAACAAATAGAATTACGCTATCAATTTCTAAAAACTTCTCTTCCTCTTTCATGTTTCTGCCGTATTACCAACGTTCAGAAAATTCCCACCATACCACGTGAAGTGAGGTCAATAACACTCATTTAGGACAAACTTCAAGCACCGAACAAACCACTGACGCTAAAAGCAATACGACAGGAACGAATAACGTTACTCCCACGGTAATTTCAACTGATCCAAAAAATGATCCTGACTCCAGTTCCTCAACGTTTGAAGGCACTACTCATACGGAAGAAACTGCTAGCACGAGAAATGACAGAACAGAGGGAAGTACTGATACTTCCACAGACGTTTCGTCCAGTAATACAAATGATCTTGACTCCAGTTCCTCAACGTTCGAAGGGACTAATCATACGGAAGAAACTGCTAGCACGATAAATGACAGAACAGAGAGAAGTACTGATACTTCCACAGACGTTTCATCCAGTAATTCAAATAATCCTGATTCTAGTTCCTCAACGCTTGAAGGCACTATTCATACGGAAGAAACTGCCAGCACGAGAAATGACAGAACAGAGGGAATTACTGATACTTCCACAGACGTTCCATCCGGTAATACAAATGATCTTGACTCCAGTTCCTCAACGTTTGAAGGCACTACTCATACGGAAGAAACTGCTAGCACGAGAAATGACAGAACAGAGGGAAGTACTGATACTTCCACAGACGTTTCGTCCAGTAATACAAATGATCTTGACTCCAGTTCCTCAACGTTCGAAGGCACTACTCATACGGAAGAAACTGCTAGCACGAGAAATGACAGAACAGAGGGAAGTACTGATACTTCCACAGACGTTTCGTCCAGTAATACAAATAATCCTGATTCCAGTTCCTCAACGCTTGAAGGCACTACTCATACAGAAGAAACTGCTAGCACGATAAATGACAGAACAGAGAGAA